GCGGCTAATGTCATTCGAAAAATTATACCTCAATAAAAAACTTTTTGCCTACATTTCCGTTTAGCTTTCAAGAAAACTTTACTACTACTACATGTAAAAATATAATTAATCACATATATTCTATTTAAGAATCAGATCTATTCTACTAGACATTCAAAAAGTGTAAAATATCTTCTTTAGTGTCAGCAGGCGGGAGTTCTCACTTTCCGATCACCCTGGGGTACGAAAAATTCTGTATGCACCACAGAAGAAAACCACTTCACCTCGGATGTCAATTTATACGAGATATGGACTTGTCAATACTTTTCTTCCCGTGATATGTATAATGTATTTTTTTTTCTTACCTTGATCGAAAGTATTCTACATCGACTGCATCGTCATTGTGTCCTAATCCCGTAAACCAAAGCACTCACACACAGTTACTGTACCAACATGCATGAAATACCGCTTACCACTTCAGTGATTGTTGTTTTGATACACGAAATGCTGTCCGACTATTAACAGTATTTGTTAAATAGTATATTTTATTGCCAGTGAACATCGGATACCATTTAATCTTGTGGAAGTTATGGCAACTTAATATATTAGAAATGAAAATGTGATCATAATAATTCTTTGTCAAGCTCAAATGAAAGTAACTAAAAAACTATCTATAAAATTTAAAACTATCTACTTTATGGAATATAATGCTGAAAAAATGGCGAATACAAGAAAAAATGCTGATATTATTACATTTTTAAACTCGAAAAATATACCAAAAGAAACTTAAAGTTACAATCTGCAGAAATCTTAAGTACTGAAATAAGATGAAATTATGGAGTTTATAAAAGAAGCACCATTATTTATATATTTAGCATTAAAGGTTAGCATTTATTATCATTTTGATTAATTACTCTATTAATGTGAATTTGCATATTAATAATAATTTCAATCTCGTTGCGGATCAATTAAAATTTCTAGATGTACAAAGTTTACAAATAGTAAAAAATACTGGTTCCATCCAATCAATTATCAACACCAATTAAGAATTTCACATCAAAACCATCAATTAAAGTTTCTTTCAACGGCTTCGCAAATTAGCGAAAAGGACATAAACATGCAGAAGGTAGAATTAATATAGTAAATCGTCAAGTTTTTAACTCCATTAAATCAAGAAATAGATGATAATAAAATCGTGAATTTTATTTTCAATAAAGCTTCATCAATTAAATATAAAAACTAAATGTTTCATGGCAAGATTAATGACAAGTTCTATTATTCTTGTATAGATATTGAAAATTAGGAAAGAACATTTAAATTGATAACTAAACATTAAAAATGAAATTGAGTATTTATGCTAAATAACTTAATTTAAATAAAAAAAAAACGTTTTTATTTATGTCAACACTCAATAACTAAAAATTGTAATAGATATGATACTTGAAAAAAATTATAAAAAATAATACTTTTATTTTTATGGCGTACACAAATAAAATAACTTTAAGCAATGAAATATTTACTTCTTAAAGAAAGATAAAAGGTAATATACAATTTTTTACCTGTTTTGATACCTGCCGCGACATTAGCATCACGAGCAAAGTTAGTATTATTGGCCGGGACCGGTATCAAAAGCAACAAAAATCTTACCGAGAAAGAATGACTGTTTATATGAGAGATCAAGAAAGAGCGAGAAAGAGAAAGAAAAAATCCAAAGCTTCGCGAGTGACCGAGAGTAGCGCAAACGCGGAGAATGAAGAAGATACGTTATCAGCTGTAACATGATGGTGTTGTTTTTAGTTATATATAAATTATTAAACGTAATTTCAACTGAAACATAAAGAACAATGGTGTACATAGGTAAGATCTTGAAAACTCTTGATTGCGCGAGATGATCCAAGCTGAAGCCCAGTTACAGAAATCTTAAACTTTCCACCCTTATAATGTAATATACTAGACGTCAAAAAAATGTTTCTAAATAACATCCGATACATTTTATGCTTATTACATAAAATAAAATAATGAAATGCTTGCTTGTTTTTTCTTTGTTTTTCTGATTATTTATTCAATTTTATTTTATACTTTTATTCTTGTATATGTTTTATATTTGAATGTACTATATATTTGATTTTAATACTTAGAATGCAATGTGGAATTGAAAATTCTCTGCAGATACGAACGAAAATACAAAATTTCAAATTAATTTATTCCATTTGGATTAAATCTGCATCACTTTAATTTAAACAACTTTAAAGTTTCATGAGAATACATGTATATTGAATATAATACTTCACGAATTTTATTTATTAGAATTTATTGTATGTGTGTGTGTATATGTGGCAAATAAAATTTTCTATCTGCCTTGGAGAAGCCAGTACTTTTGTAACACGGGATAGTATAAGGCCGAAACCAAGTGGGCGTCCCGGTACATAAATAACTAATTCGTTATGTAATGAATAAAATATTAGTTCTGAAGTAATGGTAAAAAAGCTTTTGGTTCACACTTAATGACATCGTGTTATTAATCTGTAGACATCAGCTGCATCATAAATATACGATTGACTTACAGATCTCGAATCTTCTCTTCTGTTTCATGTTTCCAAGTTTATTTGATTTTGGATGTTCAAATAATCATCTTCATACATTTTTACAAAACTTATTTGAATTCGTTTGAAATTCTGTCTATTAAGGACACTCTCTTGGAACATTCAACTTATAAAGCTTATTGTCGTCAAAATTGTCAGTTAATAGCATTGTTTACATTAAAAATTTCACCAAAATGAGGTGTAGCTATTAGAAAATGATTTAACATCACGGAAGTGATGAAAAAATTAATAAAATCATGGTATGTCATAAACTGTTGTGCAGACTCTACCTTTGTATCGGTATTTAGCTCGATGAAAAAAATCTTAACAGCTTTAACTTTTTAATGACTACCGGTACCTATATTTTTTATTATTTTATTTGACTTCTTATAATTTCTAGAATAACATTAATTTTTTAAAAAAATTTAATGAAAATTAAGTTTACGAATGAATTAAATGTACTGCGAAAATTAAATTAGCCTATCTGACACGTATTAAAAAACTAAAATTTGAAGATGAATATCTCGTTTTTAAATACCGTTACCTATACTGAATTTTTTTGGCTGTCTAGGTATTATCTTAAAGTTTGGGAGGTGTTTCTCAAAAAAAGTGATTTTTAAGAAAACGTCCTTAAAAATAAAAATAAAAATGACCATATAACGTACTGGAAAATTGATCCAATTATAAAAATATAGTTTATATTATTTTTCTAACCCAATAAAATTGGGTAAGAAATATATAGTATAAGTTACTGTTAAAAATTAAGAAAATACTAATTTCTGTTTATTTTAATATAGTTGAGTATGTTGTTTGGGTATAACAATGAAAATTTGTTGAAAGGAATATAAAATATAGAACAATATTCTATACTTTAAGATCCAGACATTTAATTTAATATATTCTGTTACAATAATTTAAGCCATATTATAGTATAGTTTGCCGTACAATTTATTATCGTTCACTATATTCTGCTTTGCTATGCAATGTAATAAAACTGGGTGTCGCAACTTTCCTCTGTGTGCATGTAAACTTTTTATTGTTAGATAGTTTTTACTATGCATTAAAATTCTAATATTTCTCACCCGTCTTTAAAATGTATTTTATATAATAATGAAATTTTAGGGAAGAATTAGAATGTTATTGAAATATTTCAACAATATTTATATAAGTTTTATTTGCAAAGGATTTCTAAATTATTTTATAATATTGTATTGTATATCATAGGAAAATAATATCCCGGCGAAGAGAAATTTTATACTTTCATAACTAAACAATAAATAAACTTACAAATTATTGATTGAAGTACGTAGTTTTAAATCATAGCAACCACTATTTCGATTTTCTGTATAAAAATTTTGCGTAGTACTATTAGAAGTAGTCCTTCCTTTATTTCGTGGTTCTTTACACGACAAAACCTTAAAATTCTATACGTTTAAATTAAAAAGTTTTAAGCGTGCAAATGTGACGTCACCAGTAAGAAATACATTGTCACTGAATTTAAACGTTTAGAAGTGTTCAAAATTGGTGACAATGTATTTCTTATGAGTGACGTCATATTAAACGTTTAAATGTAAATACATGGGTTTACCGTGTTACGCAGAATTAAAAAAATTAAAAGTTTAAAAGAAACAGTATGTACGTACCGGATAGCTCTGGAAATTTCCTGTAATCATACACTTTTAGCAATGAATATAGGCAGTGAAATGCAAATGTCTCTGTTGCTATGAGATATGATTACTACAATGCATTACTTACCTTTATCATGTGAATCGTCATGATAAAATGAACGCATCGAAATACCCTAGTTTTAGGTTTATAGACAGGTTTCGCAATTCAGATCTATACGCTGATTGCGAAACAAGTTTTCGAATTGGACAGTTTTACCGTCACGTCGTGAATTTTGCTCAGCCTTGCTAGCGCACAAAAATAATCGGTAAATTTGCCAGAGTATCGCTGCAAAAATTTGACTGCAGAGTATTTATGGCCCGAACGCCGGACAAAGTGCGCGGGACACATGGAGCCAATGACATCGGGTATTTTTTTTTTGCAAGTTGAAGGACCACTATAGCTCTGACCGCACGTTTCGCGCGATATGCGATATGCGATTGAATGGTCTCGATCGCGTGACTGGAAAAGAAAAAAATGACTTGGCTGGCTTAATTGCGTGAATTTAAATAAAATGCAAAGCGACAGCGAGATAGCTGAGAGGTAGGAGAATTTTCAAGTTGACGGGCAAGGATGTAAAGAGCATTGAGAAAAGAGAAGGGGAAGGAGAATGAGAGATACACGCATAAATGGCGAGAGAGAGAGAGAGAGAGAGAGAGAGAGAGAGGAATCGGTATGGGGGATGCAGCAGAGAGGGGATACGAGGAAGCCCTTAGGCAGATCTGTAGTTTCAAAGACTCGCCAAGTTTCAGTGCAAGAAGGTCAGCGCGGGGAAGCATTTTGACCGCGTGGAGGAACGGAACACGTTTCTCTCGTCCGTACAGCGGCGTTCGCGATCGGCTTGCTCTCGCGCTCGCCAGTCGAGCCGTGTATCACTGCGCGTGAATCACTCGGATTCGAGTCAAGTTCGCTGCGGAATCTGGATTTGGCCGAGTGTAAGTGTTTCATACGCGGATCAAAATTTTTTCCTTCTCGTGTGTTATCCTTACGGCTTTGTGCTCGGAGTTGTACTGGTCTCGTTAGCACCATAAACGCATCTCTGAATTTATATTCCGAGAGATATATTTTTAGTCAAGGCCGAAAGCACTTTTTTTGGTGCACGCACAAGTCGCTGAACTTTACAGGATAATCGCTTGCATTCCAAAAAGTGTGAGTGCTCAGACAACGCCCGATATCGCTTTGTTTTGACGTCTCCATGTTTGCGCGTTCGTATGTCAGCGCGAGATACTTTTATCTTCTAATAGATCATTTATCAGTTGGATCATTCGGAATATTTGTTGCTTCTTTCATTCTTTCAATTTATTCCTTTATCGCATTTCAAATAGATAATACAATTTTTCTATAAAATACGTTATTCATAACAGTTTCCTAAAATTATAGCATTGATTAAACTACTATTTGTCTCGTATTAACAGGATCTTCAAATTGCCGGTGACAACCCGTAGTCTTCAAATTTTCATTAACGATAATTATCTTGAAAAACATTTTACGCGTTTTATTGGCCAAAACAAACATTTTGAAAGTTGATAGTCAAGCCCGTCATTTATTGCAACGAATGATCTGCTTGCTAAATGCCAGGCGAGAATTATGGTTTTATTTAAAAACTGTCGATTCCTCATGAAATGTACGTTGATAAACGATATCGCGAGGTTTGCTCATATAGGATTCTTAGTAGAGCACAAGCAGTTCGGACGTGCGGAAAGCTATCACGGCTGCGATAAATTCTAATCAGTCTATACGCTTGTTGTTCAATTATTTTCTATAGTTGTATCTTCCATTTCTATATAAAAAGATTCACAACGCAGCATCGATTTCCGTATTGTGCGTGCAAATGATCCTTCGCGTGTAGCTCTAGCATACAAAACTTGCTTGAAAAAAAAAACAGAAGAAAAAACTCCTCGTTATAAAGTATTGCACGCTGATGATATAAGTAATAATCGAGTTAAAATGAGGATTAGACTAATATATTTATTGTCCGAGTGTAAGACAGAGTATGCGGGATCACAAAAAAATAACATCGCAGAAAAATGGGATGAGCGTGTGATGGATTAAAAGAGGAATAGCGTACAAAAAATACGCATAAGGAAAAATCACACTTATTTTTCAAAAATCCACTTATTCCACTTATATCCACTCATTTCTATTAATATAGCTTAAACGATACTGCAGAGCTTATCAAATATACTAAAGGGTAATATAAAAATTTGTATCTACTGCTATCGTGCAATGTAAGAATTTGAAAGAGACAGAGAGTGAGAGAGAGAGAGAGAGAGAAAGAAAAGCAAAGTACGAACGGAAAACAAGTCGCGTTAAACGAATAAAGAAAGAAGACAATGACATGCATTATTACCAAACAACCGAAAACGAAACCATTTACTCGTATTACGTTACTCTTTCAAAAATACATCTCGAAAATATTGAAGAGCTCGAGTGATTGACATGTGGATCAGCACATAGATGGAATAAAACCAATACATCAAAGCAGGTGTCGCAATGTATTGCTACACTGACTGTTCATCAATGGTTCCTCTAATTTAGTCGTTTAAGAAGGTTCTTCAGTGAAAAATCAATACTCTTAAGAAATCATTGAAATTGACATATAACATTGACATGTAACAACAGGCCATATATGTATGAGTATTTATTTTTTAGAGTATGTTATCGACTATTTTTTGATGTTGTAACCGTTTATAAACTAAACAAATTTAAAAAAATATGATTTCGTCAATTTACCAACACTATAAATTTGAAATATAATCGATAATATACCCCGATATTTTTACTAGATACTCCTACACATATGATCTATATTACGTTTCAATTTGATTGACATCTTAAAAATTGTGATATTTCACTGAAGAACTACCTTAAGCTCACAAATACGCGAGAAAAACGTGTATCTATAAAATTTCCGCGACACCGCTTTATCTACTCAAATTGTTGTGGTAATACACGAATAAGTAAAACTCAACGCCAGTTAAGTGTTAGCCATATTATCAGCAATAAGATTCGTAGATAGTCACATGAATGTCCGGCTGACGATAGAATGCAGAAATCCGCAAATATCGCTGACCTCTTCATAAACCAGATAGCATTGAACTTCAGTCATCTGAAAACAGAATGACATCGGCGTTATCTAAGCTTTTAACAAATAATTGTGTCAAGGGATCATTCCAAAGTCACTGTATTATCGCATCGCATTGATACATATGCATCTTATCTTGGCCATGCACTAAACTGCAAAAATCGTCGCTCGTAGTCAATTATTTTTAATTTAAAACACTATACATTCGTTTTGATTTTTCATAAACGCTTATCCCAAAAAATTCAATCCTTTCTTACACAAACCAATATAAAGCCTTGTGCGCAGTGAAATTGTCATACATTTCATCATTTATAAGTGTTCAAATTTGCCATAGTAAATCAGCTGCGAATGAGGGAATATGAATCCTGTGAGTAATATTGACCACTTCTCGTTTTTTTTAAAAGTTAAATACCCTCTGTATATTGCAGTTTTTTACTATGTTTATTATTTAATTCATAAGTTTTTAGCAATCGCCCTTAGTTCTGTAAATTGTATGTGCTTTTGAAATTCTTGGCATGTTTATTTCCAATTTTTCTTAATGTTGATTCCGCGCCTAATATATGTGTAAGCTTCTTCTTCAATTTTCGATATTTTTGCCTCACTTTACTAGGTCACTGTCAAACGCAATGCCATTTACAAAATTATTTTTCATTAATATGCAGCTCTACGACACTTACTTATTTAAAAAAAGGCCTTCGGGGAATACTAACCACCAATGCATTGGGTAATACGAACCACGAAAACAATTCGTTACATTCAATTGCAATATATTTCTTTACATTAATAAGTCTTTTTGAGCTCAAGTTACGCGAGCAATTGAAAATGGCAGTAATATAATATAATAAGACCACATAACATAATAACTTTGCGATGTCACGTTTATTATTATTGTTTGCAAGCTAGTAGTCATATATTGATTCTGCATAACTTGCAATTAAATTAAATAAGGGAAAGCCCTATGAAATAGTTTTAGAGGTTAGATTGAACCAAATATAGTTGATAATTATACAAGTAGATATTAATCATACTATCAAAACTGTGCCTGATCCGTTAATAATGTAAATGAATATGTATGTTCCGTTTTATTCATTTCTATTTAAAATAATTTTATGATCTATTAATCAAATATAAAAAGTTACAATAAGCTCTGTTCGAAAATGCCAATGTGCGTACACAAACTTAAAGTAAAATTAATGCAGTATTACACTTTTTAAAGAAATACGAGTATGTGATATTCTAATCTTAGTAGGCTTTTTAAATAGTAAATAAATACTAATAATTTTTTTTAAATATTAATAATTTATCATTTTATACAAATTTTGAAATGATTTTCTTTTAGTGGTCTCTTTTATCCTTAGCTTCTTTAACAACGTATTTTATCGGATTTTTGAGTAAAATCAAAATTTTCAGCATTTAAAAAAAGTAAATCACAAGTTTTGTAGTTAAACACCCGATAATGCGTTTCCTAGTTTGCAAGCTCGTTAAAAGTCTAGACGGTCAATATTTTCCAACTCTATTCTAATAATTGATAGATCGCAAATAATTCCAAACAAAATCTATGTGTGATTGAAAATTTAAAGAACTATTATCAATTAAAATATTTCACTGAGAAAACATAAATATTGATATACTGATGTTTCCTCAGTCTAATATTTTCATTGTAGTTAATTGTGAACATTAAGCTACTGTATAAGCTTCATTCAATCAATCGTAATTAAATTCAAATAACGAATGATTCAACTTTCAATTGCAACTTACAATCGCATTGTCAAGTGTACCTTTTCAATACTAGTTACGTAGATAACTGTGTTCAATAATGAAATTATTATTATTTTATTATTATATCATAGAAAAAACAAATTTCTAATTGTAAGTCAACTTTATAATTATTAAGCTAAATCATTCAAAAATGTAATGACTTTTGAAAATATCAATTTATTTCTTTCCATCAGTTTTTTTAACAGTATAAGATGTATATTTAAGTCACTAAAAATCTTGCATAAGCAATGAATATTGATGAATGATAAACAATAAACTGATGCCACATTATTTCACACGTGCTATCTAATTGACGCCAAACGAGATTTTCTGTGAATGCATTATCAATAAATAAATAAAAGTATTTAATTATTAATATTAGTGCGTAGGATCAGAAAGCATAACTAGCAATTCAGCAAGAATAAACACAACATCTTTCGTTAAACTACTTGAAATTCCCAATCATAAATTAACTCTGACATCCTGATACGCTGAGCTCTGGAATCGTTGAAGCAGGAAAATTTTGAAAAATAATAGTATTCAATTACTTTTGTAAATTAATTTTCATTTGGAATCTTCTCACTGAAACATATTAGCTACATCGATGATTTTCAACGAAAACAATTTCTACATAACACGATATTATCATTGTTAGTTACTACGAAACAACCAATAGCATTGAAATGATTCCATACTATGTATAGTATTGATAACTTATATATGTAAGAGTTAATGTCGCAGTAGCATGCTGATTATTTTGCATCTTGTTATAGCTGGAGTACATTATGACCGAGCAGTACGCTACCACCTACATTATAGAAATTTCGATTAAAAGTTGAAAAGCACACAGTGTATATTGGGGTATATACGAGATATAATCGGCTTGCAATATAATCGACGTTGCATTATGCTGAAGAATCTGAGACTTGTGAAAGCTCGAATTCGAGTGATCGAATTGAGTTCTTATGATTTCAGATTATACATAATGTTGCAACATTATTATAGTATATAAAGTTAAAAATTTCATATTTACGTATGAGAATACTTTGAACTTTGTATGAGTTATAATTACTTGAAACATTTTGTAGACGCAAAATATTGAATATTCATTACTAATGACTACCATCAATAATAAACCGGTAATTTTTAAATAAACAATTTTTTTATGCTGATCAAACTTAAACCGCCTTGCTGAACTATAATGTACATAACTACAGTAAGAATGTGTGCACAATGGTCCTCATAAATAATTAATAGTTATTATTCTTTTTTTAATAGTCGAAATGTTTTTCTTTATGTTCCAAGATTTGTTTCGTTTTTTTTTGCGTTCTTAATTTTCGCTCTCAGTTTTCCAGCAATATAATACATTTACATACTCACACTAAAAAAATATAATCGTTGATTCGTTACCATTTTGCTTCTGATTTTTTGTCATAAATTGCACAATCATTTTATACGATATTTATTCAAGATTCTTATGGTTGATCAATGTAACGAATCGTCTAGACATTACAAATATTTTTTGTACTAATATTTATTATTTTTCAAATAACTGTAAATTGTTACGTACTTGAGCGTAAAATTTATGTGATGTCATTTAAAAACGTCATTAAGCTTTGATAGATTTTGAGTAAAATATTATAAAAGGAATGTTTAAAATGTAAATTATAACTACGAATTTTACATATTATTATGACGAGGTAAAAAACTGGAGCGATATTATTTTTTACTTTATTACGAAAAATCACGCTCAACGTATATGAAAACGTACAATTGCCTGACAGAACGAATGGTTTGAAGCTAATATACGATTTCTTTTTTTTTTTTTACAAAAATAAAATCATTTCGAATATTGTTTTACATTTTATTTAAACTATTATTACAGAAACGTATAAAAGTACAGAAGAAAAGTGTTCTGTTTTTAGTTTTACACTAATTCTATAATATAAAATATTGTAAGACGAGTAAAATTTCCATGAGTTCTTTGGAATTTTTGTCGAAAAAAAATGTGAAATGAATTTCCTGCTACGTTAATAATCTGATATTAGAAGAATGATATAAAACATCTAAGTGCTTAATTCTGTATGCAAATCTAGTGAATCAGCAATTCATATCCATTCATCGATGCGGTTTCAATTTACTAAAGTTCCTACAAAAAAAAACGGTGAAAAATTCTAGTCGACACGTGTCGCAAAAAGATGTATTATAGTTACTTTGTTGCAATATAATATTACGCGATGAAAAAAAAGTGTCATCAAAACATACATAAACCACGTGTTATTTTTGTTGCAGACTTCCTGTGATCGGAGCTAATAATTACATCAAGACGTCGTGGGATACGTTTGAACAAAAAACAACTTTATAAACTGAGAGATAGAGACAGACAGTAACAAGGATGCTATAAAAGTGCACGTACACCTTACGCAACAGACAACTTCAATAAGCACGCGACAATACACATTCGAACGAAAATTGCCGTGGGGACAAGTCTGTGGCGTCATCAGATTCTTGCGTCAAGAAAAAGTATCAATTTGAGATAGTCCAGGTCATCAAGGTTTTGCAGACTATTGTGCAATAGCTTATTTTATATTGCATTATAAAAGTTGAACTTGGAGCGGCTTCACGGATAACCTCCCTCTCACTCTTTCTTCGAATTTCTACATGGACATGCAGCATCAAATGAGCACCTTGACATAGTGGATCGCTGAATAATCAGGAAAATCAAAGAAACCTGAAAAAAGCGGTTGGCGCGACTTTGCTGACAACTTGAAAACTTGAATGACGAACATAGTGCAACGCGGATCGACGAAGTGAGCGAATCCTCGAGATTTAAGCTGTGCGCGACAAAGATAATCGAGAGTAAGGCCGAAACAATGTGTCAACGAGCAGTGCTAATCAATCTACCCAAATCGGGCTCGTTGGACATCGAGTTCAACAATCTCAACTACGCAGTATCGACTGGGTTTCGAAAACCGAAGAAAGAAATCCTACGCGGAGTGGACGGACTATTCAAATCAGGCGAATTGACTGCCATTATGGGCCCATCGGGTGCCGGCAAGTCGTCCTTGCTGAACATTCTCACAGGGCTACAGAAGTGCGGCGTGACGGGCAGCATAAAGTTCCGTTCAAAGCACGGTGATCGCGATTGGAATCAGTACAAGAAGGAGTCCTGTTACATCCAGCAAGACGACATGCTACATCCACTGTTTACCGTGCAGGAGGTCATGATGATGGCCGCGGACCTGAAACTCGGCAACAATCTCAGTCGCAAAGCCAAGCACATGGTCATCGACGATGTTCTCGAGATTCTCGACTTGACGAAGACGAAGGAAACGCGATGTGACAGGCTGAGCGGTGGCCAGAGGAAACGACTTAGCGTAGCTTTGGAGTTGGTGGACAATCCGCCGGTGATGTTCCTCGACGAGCCGACCACTGGCCTCGACTCGTCAGCCTCGCTTCAATGCGTGGCGATGCTTCAGAACCTCGCCAAAGATGGGCGGACCATCATTTGCACGATTCACCAGCCCAGTGCCACGATCTACGAGATGTTCGATCACGTTTATCTGCTGGCTGAAGGTCGCTGTGTCTACCAAGGCGACGCTAAGAATACCGTGAATTACTTCAAGAAACTCGAGCTCGTTTGCCCGATGTACCACAATCCAGCTGACTTCATGATCGAGGTTGTGAGTAAGGAGTACGGCGACTTCAACGAGAAGCTCGCCGTTGCTGCGACAGATCGATCGTGGAGAGCGACTACACCTGACAAGAGCATCCTCTGCCAGCCGGACGGCATCATGAAGTACAGCTCTGAGGGCAAAGCCACTGTGCTGATCAGTCCACCTTCCGAGTTTTCGAGGTTCTGGGTACTACTACGGCGCTGTATGATCCAACTCTTCCGAGACTGGACGGTCACTCATCTCAAGCTCCTGGTACACGTACTCGTCGCAATCCTGCTAGGATTGCTTTACGTTGACGCAGGCTCTGACGGCTCGAAAACCATCAGCAACGTGTGCTTCTTCCTGGTGAACTCCGTCTACATCTGCTATACGAGCCTCATGCCCGCGGTACTCAAGTTTCCCTCGGAACTGCCAGTATTGAGGAAGGAACGTTTCAATAATTGGTACAAACTGTCCACCTACTACGCGGCCTTCCTCGTCTCCAACATTCCCGTTCAGGTGATGTTCGTGGTCGTCTACACCGCTACCGCTTACTTTATGAGTAGTCAACCACCGGATTTGCACCGTTTCCTGATGTTCCTTGCCATAACGGTACTCGTGGCACTAATTGCTGAGGGTTTCGGTTTGTTCCTTGGTACCACGGTCAATCCCATCAACGGTACCTTCTTAGGCGCAATAACAACCTGCGCTGCCCTCGTATTTGCTGGTTTCCTCGTGCTCTTCAATCACATGCCCAGATTCATGTACTGGCTGACCTACACTAGTTATTTGAGGTACGCCTTGGAAGCGATGGTTCAAGCGATTTATGGATTTAACAGGCCGAACTTACCCTGCCCGGTGGATGATGACATGACTGACATGACTTATTGTCAATTCCGAATGCCCAAGGCCATTATCAAAGAGTTGGCTATGACTGATGTCGATTATTGGTTCAATTTCACAATACTTTTTGTTCACTTCGTGGTACTGCGTTTCGTTGCTTATGCCACGCTCAAGAGAAAATTGTCATCCATCTGATTAGCCTACCAGGTAAATTTAACAACAGTGTAGTCAATTATGTTAAAAAAACTAATTGACTTTGTTTTTTTTAAATATATTTTCATCGCGATAACAACAATGTAATTAAAAAGTTCTTGATGAATACAAAAATGTATATGGTCATTGAATGTATTTACAAGCATTCTCATTGGTCGATTATGTTTGTCCATTCAAATATCAATTCGTGCTCTACATTTCACTAAACTTTATGGAAACGAAAGCAGGAGTATAATGAAACTCTTAAAGAACATTTAAAAGACGAATATACGTATAAAGTGTAGATAGAAGAACATTTGCTCAATTTTCCGTTCACGAACGATGTAAAAAGAGTAAGATATGTACATCGATATCCAAGCAATGTCTATTTTTAGTGGAGTACATTTTTTTAGCACAGTATATTACGATACCCTCGCTCGGGTGAAAACACCACACGAGTCGCGATTTCTTTTTTCGAACATGTATCGTACGGTATTTTTTGATGCAACGTGTTCAAAGTACGATTTTGACCGCACATTTTTGGCTGAACGTGTGGAAAAGTCGCACTTTTCGCACGGAGAGTCAAAAATAAATATCATAAATCAAGATTTAGAAAGTTTATTTTGAGAGTTTATATAAAAACTGTTCATGTGCTCAAAGACTGATAGAGAGCGTTATCACCATTCAGAATTCATCAACAAAAACATTGTTTCATAGCTCTTCGAATAAGAATGTTTATAACAAACTCATACCCATGGAAAATTTTAGAGTAAAACATAAAATTTTTAATTTTACACGATTAATCTTTGGGTGGAAAAGAAACCACTAGACCGATGCTACAAATGATTAGCATTCTTAATGAAGCGGTACTTTTTTTTACTACAAGTTTTTTTAAGTGTACGAACACCACAAAGAAATTATTATTTCAGTTTTTCAGTTTAACCACAAAGATTTCTTAAAATAAGTTTATAAACCTACTAATATTAGTTATTTAAGCGAGACAACTGTTTTCTTAATTTGACGAAGAAAATGACTTATATATTAAACACGAAAAATAAAGAAAAAAGCTTCCTTATCAAAAATACTGTCTAATGTTTGGGTTTTAGTAATCTTCAGTGCTTCTTCTTTTTGCATTGATTATTAAGAACAAAAATATCAAAAGTTTTGATGATACGAATTATCATTACATAAGATAACTAATCGTCAGTGGAAAAAACTAGTCATATCATCGAATTATAATTTGTTTCGAGATCAAAAACTTGTCATAGCATTAACCATTTGTTTCACGAACGAGGAAATCAATTTACACGTATAAAAAAATTAAAGTCACGCGATAGTCGTTTAATATACTACGTACAAACCACCAGTTTGAGAGGTCCGTTTTTTTTACAGATCTCATCGGTATACAACATTACAGATCTGATTGAAATGTGACAAGAAGACCAGTGCAGAACGATATATCTGCATACACAATAATTTTATTAAAAGAATTGAAATTGCAGAATCAAATAATCTCGAAACCAAGGAAAAAAAAGTCAGTGGAATGACTTTGCGAAAGGAAGAAATTGGACAAGCATGGTATTTTCAATAGGAACTTAATTTATTGCTTCAGTTCCCATGTAATGCGTAAGTTACAAGATAGAATTAGGCGCACGCTGACGCAAAAGAATGCTAAAAGTAAAGAAAACAAAAAAAAACAGACGATGCCTGGCAAAAACAGGTTCAAGAGTTGTAGCATTAAGTTTGTTGCGCGAACACAGAAAGGCAACATGATCGTCGAAAACATTACGTAAATCGGAAATTCAATCTAGAATACCTATTTCCAGACAATTTTTACAATTGAACGAAATTTACCATTGCGTTATCGAATTTGGTAGCTAATTTCTTTTTTCTATCTAAAGTACACGAGTAGTATTTCACGCACTTAACAGTGCCACAATTTTTAAAACGTACAGGCACTCAAAATTGTATTTTTTTTTAAATTACGTTCTTGAAACCTATCTGCGGCGAAGCCTTGACCCTCATGCGACATTGAACAAAAATTTAAATAGAAAGGACCTACAATTTTTTTGACTTTGGCAATGATCGTAAAATTTTACGATGTGGTAGCGCATTCAATAGACTACGGTGTACTTTTAATGAAAAGATGTGGCATTCCAAACGCTCAATTATTTAAGCGACGTCACGGAACCGCAGTTTCTTTTGTTCTTGCGCGATAGTATTTTTTTAATCGGTCATTGGAACGATTTGGTCGATGCATTTATGTGCCGAATATCAAATGGGGGATTTATGCCATCCGTTGAAAAGTGTATTCTGATCGACAGACGAGTTTTTAATTTTACAAGTGATGATAAATAACGATTAGTACATGAGTCATTAGAATTGCAAATACTATTATCGCAGTGATTTTTCCTTCTTACTCTGTGACTATAAATCACTTATGTTTAACGTTTATTCTGCCGATCGTATGTTCATGTCACTTTTAAGTAAGTCAATTGATAATTAGTAGAATATGTCAAAAAAATGTTGTATTATATTAATTAAAATAATAAATAATTTTTAGGGATAAGGTTTCCATGTGATAGTTTCATTTGGGTCTATTAAAATTGAAAGTAGATGCTTGCATGTCGTTTTGTCGAATCCATGACGATGATAAAAAAATTTGTGAAAACACGAATATTTATTATACTACGCCTAGAAAATAATTATCATCATGACACGAACGCCGTCTGTTTGTAATTTAATTTTTATTTTCTTGCGGCAGTGACTAACAAAAAAAACGCAAATGTCACTTGAGAAAAAATATGTCTACATTGAGAACATTTCTTCGCAAAACAAATAACACTATGAATTTCAAAAGAAGCGGTCAAACAAGTTTAATCATTTTTATAAGGTAACAAGGAAGTGTGGCGCTGCAAGGTTAAAAACACGCTTAATCGTTAATATTATAGCACGTGTATTTCTAGAACATTAGTATAATGAGAATTTTTTCTCAAAAAATTGACAATAAATTCGCGCCGTAAGGATAAGCATGTTAAAATAAATAAACTAGACACGGGAACGTTTGTGAACTTGGACTAATTTTTTTCATTTCAAGCTCACGTTTGTCGAGTGAAAAACGTTTAAAGAGGATGCTTCTTATGTTAATTGTATGTGCGTACGTGTTTTAATCAACGAAGATACTCTTGTAATATGTTGTATGTGGCATTAATTAATTGTAGGTCAGACAGAAAATATATATACATAAGTCAGACATAAGGAAAATTGAAAGTAAAAAGCGAAATTTATGAACTTCAAGCCGTATTTTTAGGCCAACACTGCTTCTCGATGTGTAAATTTTTGTACGAAAGCGTAGAATTTATTGCACTGCATTTATTAATTTTTTGTAGACTAGAAAATATCATTCACGAATGAGATGGGTTTGTTGTAATTCGAGTATTTGAAAAATTGAACAGCTTTTCATCTTGATTATTTTCCTATTCTACATTCAAAGTAGACAAGCAACTCAATTTTTTAAATCGTATGATTGACGAACATTAAGCATTGTTATAACGAAAAAAATTGAGGGTACGTTTATTTAGACGACTTCATGGTACTTGCAATTGGGCAACGCACTTTACCTAAACAAGTAATCTCCTTATCTCATTTTCTTCGTAGCATTAATTAGTTGCGGAGTATCGAAGCCAACGATACTATCATAGGTTATAGGTTGTGCAGGTATACCTCGTTAACATATAATTATGTCGCGATTAACGTTTTTCAATACGTAAGCATATAAACTGCTGCTGAATAAATAAAGATTTTTGTCACTTTTCGCTACAAGAAGTTACATGCGGGTATTGTAGTAGATTAGAAGAATCTCGTCACTTGTTAAAAATATTCGGATGACAACTAATTGTCAAATATAGATTTTAATATCAACGAAATGTAACACCAAAATATATAAAACTGTTAACTCAAGGCAACAAATTTGCATACAATGAACTGAGTAAAAAAAAGAATTTCAATTATATAATCGTTTAATCGAACAAAGGTCAAATATTGCCTGAGTATGTGCATGATTTCAATCAAACTTTTTTACGATCTCAACATTCGAATCAACAAATTATTAACTAATTCGTAATGTAATAAAATAAGATAATCAAGGGAAGATATACTGCGAGAAAATTGTTAGTACGTATGTGTTTAGTCAATTGTTATAGTTTTCTGAATCATAAAATAGTTCGGTGAAGTAATCATGTTTCTCTACATTTAGAAATGTATATTAGTATTTTTTATAAGGTGAAACGGTGATGTATATACAACACGTACATATATGTGAATTTACAATGTTGAATAAAAAGTTTTATATGAAAAGTTTACAGCTTTCTTTGTAACAGTCTCACTGTAATTTCCTTTTTTTGATTGCCCTGCTAGCGGGACTGTGATTAACTCAAATTGAAGTCACAAAGTAATTTGAATAAATTAGTTTAATAAGGGAAAATAACGACGCAAGAGTCTGGAAAAATGGCACATTTATTATGTTATTAGTGATAATAATATTACTAGTGGTAATTAAACATTTTTTCATTCACAGTCGAATCTTTCAGTATTTTGTTTTGTCCATATCAGTGTGCCTATTTGTTTCTAGCTTACACATTCACACATATATTTTCCGTGTATGAGGTTATACATTTTTTATGCGGGAGCAACATGCAGCCTTTCATATCATCGCTTCCCTCAAAAATCCCAATTACGTTGTTATAGAACTCACATTTCCTGTTAAATAATGGTTGTTGCACAAGAAAGAGCAGTTATATTTCGTTTCGTTGAGGCTACTATTCACTCTCGCGATTCACATCATTATAACTCTCACGCGGTTTGAATTTGGATTGGTCATCGAACATTTGTAAGAACATCCATTCGACCCTTTTCACACTTATTCGACTTAATTTCTCACGTCTATGATTACACACATGATTTTTTCTTATTCACTCTTTAACTCTTGCACACGCAATTAAGTTTTTTTATGCACTTTACATTTTCACATTCTCACACATACTTTAACTATCTAAATCTGTCGAGTCTAGCTTATAGACTGGGCTTAAAATCTATTTATAGTCGTTATTATTTTACATGATTACCTTCGCAAGTCTTCGGCACGCAAGTACTTTTACAAAAGTATTTTATCGCCATTGATTCTCACGCCTCCATCTGCGTTTACGATCAGACGCGATTTTCATTATAATTAATATAATAGTAATAGAATAATATAATAGAATAATATTAAAAATAAAAATGATCGTAATATAAATTGATAATCATACCCTTGAGAAAAAAAACACAAATTTATAGCCTATATGTATAGCCTGTTGTACGTTTTTTCAAAGTATTATAGCTACTCAAAATGCTTTTTCTCTCTCGCTAGGGCAATAATCATTATAATCATAATAATTATCACGCCGAGTCAACTCGGCCTTCTTTAACACTTCTACGTCACAATGTACATTTTTTCAGCCCTTTCAAACTTTTTCAACTGTATCTTTTTACCAGTTTCGTCTTGCAGTGCAGGCGAACGGAGGTATACAATTACACTTAATTATTGTTGAACGAGGTCGCAACCGACGTTATTGTCTTTTTCACGCGAAGGTCCTCGAATGTTATTTTAACAAGAATCTTTCTTCAAATACTTGTGTCCAGTACTTGATGCATAAGCATCGATGTGATTTAATGCGAAAAACAGTTTTTTAATGCGTTAGCAATGACGATTCTTTACTTTTACAGATTTCTTCAAATACGTTTTTATTTTATTATATTTCTTTCGATAATTTATTTATTGCCCAGACTCTATTATAAAAGATACATTCTTTAGCAAATTTCCAAGTTGCATGGCAAAATCAAAATTAAAATTAAACTGATTTTGGATAAAACATTTTATATAAAATTTATTAACTGACGTTACCAGTGTTATTCATTTACAATAAAAATAAATGATGTGAAAGCGCAACTACAAGTAAAGTTAACAATTTGTAAAGTTACAGCTGTTGGTTATTTCATCAGATATTTAAAAAATCAAATTTTCTTAATATTCCAACTTCGTCAGTAAATAAAATCCCCTGTAATGTGTTCAACATAATAATATAAAAATTACCATCAAACTTATGTTAAGTAATAATATGATGGTTGATAAAATGTAAATAACATCGTAAAAAATTATTTGTATTTTTTTCAATAAAGTCAAGGCCAAGTGATATGAGTTTCTTTGAATATGAGACCTTATAAAAAGATGTAAATTACGCTATCATACCAATAGAAGCCAATAAATGAATCGCCTAGCTTTTTGATGTTAGAGGAACTTCAGCAATAAGTGGAATACTTAGGTTACGAGGTGGCTCGACTACTCGTTCAATATACATATATATATAATACATCTTTGCCATTAAGACGTAACTTTTTCAGAAATATGATTATAACCCTTTCAGAGGCTAATTTTTTGCACAACAAATCAATTTATTTATAAATCACTTTAGGTTTTACATGAACCTTCAATGCCAGCGAATAGAAAATATTTACTTAATTTGAAAATCGTCAAAAACTACATTGTTTGATATGTTTCGTTGGTTAGTATTTCTAAAGAAATTCATTACTCAATTCAGTGAATTAGAAAATAATATTTGTCAGTTTTTTTACAAATATGCTCCACAAGTCCAGACAATTACTAAACGTTGTAAATATTTCTACTAAATAACTGCTGGCTATATGAGCTCACATCGCTAAAGATTGCTTTCATTTGCAATAATCTTTTATTACTAAACTATAAAATAAACATAATGCAAATTTATCCTAATATCATAGAGCTAAATTATTTACAAGTATGGAATACTTGATTGCATAGTTATGAGCATAAAAAACGAAAAAATATATGAGACGATGCGTCCCACTGCCCTTGAAAGGGTTACATCTTTACAAGTCGGAACAGGATATAGTAATCGGACGTGAATGATCCGAATTCGATGCTCAATTGCACCCGCTTCGACGGAATAAAAAAAAATACAATAGAGAAGGCTCTATAGTTTAAGCATGGCAAAAACAATGAGTAACATCACACATTTCCCCGCAAATTCGCTCCTTGGATATGCAAAACGTTCCGGTTTGTCTGTCTCATTGTAATCTCATCTGCCTACGAAATATCCGGGTTATAGCATGAATGATTTCTATACCATCATAGCTGTTCCGAAATTGTATCAAAGGACAAACAGATAGTTGATGACAACGTTTCGCTGAAACAAGTTTGGAGTGCGGTTTCGTTTCACAGAAGTCTACAAAATCAATCCGCTACACAACCTCTGCTACTGTGGCGGTTGCACGCTATGCTGATGTGTAGGTGGACCCTGCAACATGCCAAGCCGGTTACTACATTTTAACGTTGAATCCGTTATACACGCATAAGAAGATAAAAAGAGAAAAATGTTTTATCGCGAAATTGAATTTTCTGTTTTCTTATTAATTAAAGTACGATAAAACTTTTTTCTCTTTCCGTCGCTGGATACTTATTCAACTTACGGGCATTGCAGGAAACGGCGCCTGCGTGTGAGCATGTGCGTGTGGATGAGGATGAGCTATGTGTGCTGCAAGATGGCCAGGAAGTTTAGGACCGTCTTCAGCTTTTTCTTCCTCTCTCCTTTTCAAACATGCTGCTTTAGGGTTCAAGTTTCGTTCTATAAAAAAATTATGTATTAGCATATAAAATTACATTTATTATTAAATTTTATTTGTTCATATTGTAAAATTTTAAAAACATTAAACCAAATTGATACGTGACACTGCTGTGTACAACGGGACTTTACTTTATTACTATACTATATTACTTTATAATTGAATTTCTATTTACCTCTGACTTGCTGTTCCAATGCCATGATGACTTCTACAGCCATATTAAGGATTCCAAGTTTAGTTTGTGGTTTCTCCGACTTCATGTGAGCCATGCACATTCTGCCAAGTTCTTTCAATGCCTCGTTGATGTCACGAATGCGTATCCTTAAAAAAATATAGAATGTTTAATCCTTAAGATCTTTGTTCCCAATAAAGTTGCACATGATTAAAGGTAGAAGGTTGAGAAAAGGGAAAAATGAAGCAACTGATTTAGAGACAAATGAATGTCAATATCGAAGGTGCTATGCGTAGAATACGGGGCGACGACTATTGAGTATGCAACGAGAATCTTAAGTATGCAACTTAAAATATGCACCATCCAAATATTTAATAACTTATGAACATTTCTTTGAATCGTCATTTCTCAAGTTTAAGTTCAAGCTTCGCTCTTCTTACCTTTCCCTAGCATTATTAGCCTGCCGTCTTTCCTTTTCCCGCTGTGCTTTTACGTCTGGATCATCGTCTTCATCCTCAGCGCTCGAACAACAATTGCGCAAAAACAATACTCGATTAATCATCTGATGGTAGTTAGCTCAAGGCCAATTTCGCAAAACCCATTAAATTGATGTAATTAGGCACTTTTAGGCAATTGCAATAAACAGTTTTTAAACTGGAATATTGAATCAAATATAACTTTGAAAAAGCTACCAAATACCATTAATTCGATGGGTTTTTTAGTCATCAATTTTGTTAATCGTCATGTTGTTCGAGTGATGATTTTGAGTCAACCAATTTTATATGATTCTATTCTCTGAGTGAGTAAACACACGCATAATGGTGTCATGACTTTTTTTATGCTGAAATATTCAGAGTAGCACTTTTTTCACTTGGAGTGTTAATATAATGCCGTATTAAAGAGCCCGTACACTAAACATAAACACTGCTGCTTTGCAAAATAATAAAAATTATTAACGCTAACTACTTTCAATATTATTTATTTCTATACAATACACTTCTACTTGGTAAAAATAGAAATTATATTCACGTTATTGATAAATTATATTGAGTAACTATTACATTGAAGAGAATACTTCTGGAAATAAGTTATAATATTAATCATTTTATAAAATTCTGTAAATAGGCAGTTGCTTCAATTTTCCTGATTATAAATAGTCTTTAAAAGATGAAATAGAATATAATGAGATTTGTAGAAGATGAATATTACAGAACTTACGTGTATAGGAAGGACAATTGATGGATTTATAAAATTGAAGAAATATTTAAAGAAAAAGAATCTACATTTTATAAAATTTTAATGTAAATACATAAATATTTATTTATATTTGTATATCAATGAATTTAAATCAAAGATAAAAATAGTATTGTAAACTGGCCTTTTATCGTAATCGCACTGCAATAAAACTGTATGAATCTGTTAACAAATAATGTTAAAGACAATCTGTAAATTTACATTGACGATTGTCATCTTACATTTTCGATTGGTAGACCAGCAGCATTTTAACTGTGAATTACGTTTGAATACGGGCCACAATAATTTCTCTGATAATAAATCGATATGAAAATTATCTGTCACTCAGGATTTAAAATAATTAATGAAAATTGTCCAAAGAAAACAACTTGGCAGAAAAAAATATAATGCCATGGGCATTTATTTACAAGAAAACTATGAGTGACAGCTGAAGGATAGGATCGAAAAGGACATTGTTTTCTTACAAAATTGCAGCAAAGTGCAAATTGCGTGTGTTCACTAACCTTTCGCGAACATTGTTCGCTTGTCGACGTTCTCTTTCGCGCACCGCTTTGGTGCCAGGGTCATCACCATCTTCATCAGCGCTCGAACAACAAGTTTTAAAAACAAAGCAAGTTAGTTTGGTACATGAAATAACCACAACGTTGACGATTGAGAATTTTTAGGAATCATGCTGCCATATTTCTAAACATTCTTTTTGGCAAATGATGACAGAAATACTTACTATCGACGAGATCGTTTCGTGCCCTTTCCTTGTGACGTCGAGTTGACTTGAGCCGTACCAATAACTGCTGCTGTTGTTGCAACCAAATCACTACTGGATGGCTTTGTTTCTCCACCACTGCTATCTGGCGGATCTTTCCTCTTTTCTACAGAGATGTATTCTGCGCATTAATAAAATTGTCACACATGGAGCTGATGAATTTACAAAACATCAATCACTAGCTTTGGTCGAATAACCGTTTACCGATAGACTTATAAATTAGAAATCAATCCAGCTACGGATTCTTTAAGCAGTTATTGCAAAGTAAACTACATGTTTGATTCTTAAATGTATACCGAGGTAACTCATTATCTCATAGCTCGATCACGGCTGTAGCATTCATAAAGAATAGAAGAAATGCAATAACAAGAAAATCGTGAGCGCAGACCTAAGTCGTCCCAATAAGGAAATAGTAGATAAATCACGCGACAAAACCATGAGGTATGTATTCGCGTATACGTCGGCACCTTTATTATCCCCTCTGCAGCCGCGGATAACCTGATTCATTATGCCAACAAAAGGGAATCCGCGCACGACTTTCACGGCGCGCGTAACGCGTACTGTCCTATTCGCGAGCCCACCATTACCACCAATGCTTTTTTGTTTTTCCTTTTTTATCCCCTTTTTTCGCGCGGGATACTGAAGTGCTGTTTTCTGTTCTCTTTTTTGGCCTTGGCCGTACATGGTAACAAGGTATTCGACAACGACGACTCTTTACAATAATTGTCATGGCAAGCCAAATTAACGCCCCAGGCGTTCGCACACACTTTGGTATTTCTACGGCGCCAAGAGAATGCAAAATGAAAGCGTCGGTTGATAATCAAACGGATTCTATTCAAATAAGTTACTATTTTTTTGCGCTCTAAAACAGTACCGCGCGACTCGCTTGCTTAATTGACATCGTGCACGATTCCCTTTTACTTTCTTTATTCAAATGAGCTTCACTTCCGCGCTGCTAGATTGAAAAAAAACAGTCTCTAGTCATTCTATGTCTCATCGAGTTTACGTTGTTCACGCTTCCAAGAGTTGGCGACACCATTTGTAATGAAACAAATTCCAGCTGAAGTATACTCACTGGCATTGGCGACTGGTAGCCTCTCGATTTTGATGGATCCATCGGTGTCTGACGTCGGCGCTAGACCAGGGTATGAACTTTGTGGCTGGGATACCGTCACCGTCGGATGCGGACTCGTCTATAAAACGATAATGTCGAGTTGAATTTTTGAATATTTCTCTACATTCTTTGTCTTTTGTTCTAAAAAAAATGGTTGGTGTCTCACCAAATGGTCTAATTGCTGTGGTGACGTATGTGAGTACATAGCACCGTGTGGACCAACGGGCCCAAGGTGAATACCAGATTGGCTTTCCGCAATATTCCTTAAAACATTTATGGCATCGTCCATATGATATGGTTCCTCCATTCGCGTTGCCTGTTGAAAAAATAATATTAAATTGCACATGAAGTTTATATTGTATTCTACATTTGACACATATTTAAGAACTTGATTCATAAAGTTTCATATACAGAGACAGTTGATTGAAATTTTGAAACGGGATTGAAGCACAATATAAAGCAACTTGATGATGCTATTTTAACTTATATTGCACAGCTGAAAGTTAAGTATGAATATTAATTGGCATGCATTGCGTTGCATAAGAAACTGTATTAGTAAGTGAAGATAAAAAAAAGACAAATTAGAAAAAAGTGTGATCGGTGGCGCGCCCGCGTGTAACAACAACCCAGAAAAGAATGGCAAGGAAAAAAGAAAATAATGTGGTTAAAAAAAATGAAAAATGCGATCCTCACCTTCGAGTGGTCGCGAAGGAAGCCGATGGCGTCGTCTACTCCCTGCAGTTCAGGCGCCGGCTTCACACACAACACCAACAAAACAAAATAAAAACAACCAAGTCAAACACAGCGTTCACGACAAACAATAATTTAAAAAATAAAAAGTTTGATTTTTATGGGGATTTTCTAGCTTCTGATAACTGGTCAAGGGTAAGCGAATAAATAATAGTGAAACTTTACCGATGGCCATGAAACAAGCATTTGTAAAGTTCCTTTTCACAGTGCTAAGTGATCGTCACTTTTATGAAGTGTTGTGGATATTATAAAAGCAACGGGACAAAGCTAATTATGAAAATGAACTTTATGCATGGAAAACGTGACGTGTGAATAATGAAAATTAGTCAAGCACAAAAAAGTGATGGGCGCAATATGAAATATGCAACATTTCACGGCAAAATATTGAACAAACAGCACTCGTGATTCTTGTGTAAACTATTTGGCATGAAAACTTGTAAATAAAGAATATCCGTTGAAATCGTTCGCCACTTCCACGTCAATTACAAATAATAAAAGACGCATTGCACTTTTCATAGAAATATTAAGGCAAACCATTCCAATTCAACACAATCAAAAATTCTACAATGCGTACCCGTGGAATTTGCATTTGAAACGTGAAAGCGATGAACGCGCTGCAGGAAATGACAAGAAAACGCCAAATAAAATGAAAAAAAGAGGATGCCAATCGCTGCCAAAGACAAAGACAAGAAAGCACGTTGCGTATACACACCATGTGCATGGCACCGCGATTCGGATCCGCGAGGTGCGGAGATACGGGTGCTGCGGCCGGTGCCCATCCTGGTGCTGGAACCGCCAGCGGCGGTGGCGAACTGACTGGCGTCGACGGATTACTGCTGTAACTCGATACTGATTGTTCCGCCGCCGAGTAAATCTATAGAAAAATCAACGTTACTTTACATTCAATGCTCAGGCCCTAAAATTGTCGAAGCGCCAAGTCGCCGGTCTAAATAAAAAGTCAAAATTGGATTTCCGCTTAAGACGTTAAAATGCTCCCTCGTATAGTCTCTCGAAATAAACCCGCAGCGCACAAGCTCGGTCGTTTGTCCGCGATAGACATTCTCATCGCGCGGCGACGACTTCTCCGAATTGGACGTCGGTGACGTCAACGCGCGCGCGCGCGCGCGCGAAAACAGCAATTCAGCGATATACTCACAACGGAGGCGAGGGTTTTGCCGAGCGTGTCCTGTGGCGCGGCAGGCGTAGGTGCACTAGGCTGAGGTTGACTGACGACGGTTGGCACGACGGGCGCGCCAGGACTGTGACTGTACTGGATGGCGACGGGCGACGAACCAGACGGTGGCTGTGGCTGCGACTGGTTACTGCTCGGTACCGTGGTCACCGCCACCGCGTTACCACCTCGGAACGTGGACATCGGCGGCAGCGAGGCCGCCGACGGCACTGCCGTGCCAAGGATCGGCTGTGCTACGGGCTCGCCGTTTGGCGACATAGACGAGTACGCCTGCTCGGCGAACAACCAAACATTCTTATTTTTACCTCTACGTGGCGCGTTTACGAGCCAAGGCAAGTATCGCGCGCGAGCACTGCGAAGGCTGAGGCAGAACGGGAGCTGCCGAAAGGGAAAAAAAAGAAAACGAGAAGAGAGACGCTCGTAAAATGGAGATATTCGGAATGAGCCAAGCGAAGCGGAAACGAGAAGAGAGAGACTGAGAACGAGGACTTGCAATTGGGAGATTAGCACGGTTTAGAAAACGTAATATGCGCGTCGTACCGAGAACAAAAAAAGTAAGAGTAAACGAGCGTTGGCGATTTTCTCTATCTCAAGAGTAAATGACGAAGCGAGTAATGGGCGCGCGAGCGGTTTATTCGTGACGACGCGAAAGAGAGAGAGAGAGAGAGAGAGAGAGAACGTTGACCCGTTCAAAAGAGTACGTACTTTGTTTAGATAATTGCGCTCTCGGAGAGCGAGAGCGAGAGAGATTTAACTTCCGAGAGTCAAGAATTTATCCGTCGGCGTCGAGAGCGTGTAAAAAACCAATAAATTAAGCGTGTTTACTCGTGCAGGCCGAAAAAAGAAGTAAAGTAAAAAAAAAAGGTAAAAGCGTCGAGGGCAGCAACAGCAGACACATGCGGGAGAGAGAAAGAGGGGACAGCGGCTCTCAACCGGGTTAGTCTAGGCGAGAGAGAGAGAGAGAGAGAGAGAGAGTGTGCTGCTTTACGAATATAAGCCGCAGGGTGGTCCAAAAAAAGAGCATCGAAAACGCGCGCGCAGCTCCTCTCTTGTGCCAGCTGGTCGACACCGACGGAACGCGCTTGGGAAAGGGCAACAGTATGCAGCGCTATATGCCAGTAGTAGGTAGCTACTGTCTCTCAAGTGCGGGAGAGAGACGCCTCTCTCGCTCCCTTTGTTCGTCTTCTTTTTCTTATCTCCCAATTTCGCGCAAAGATTCAAATGTGGATAGGTGCCGAGGTCATCGCCGTTCCCTTTCGGGCTACTCACCATGGGATCGTGTGGTATGTGCATGGGGTAGGCTGGCTGTGCCAAGTGTGTTGGTGCGTATCCACTGTAGGGTGGTTGTACGTTGCCACCTCCAGCGGACCACGGGTCGCCTGGACCTGTACCCGCGGCGTTCCCATCTGCAAAATAACAACAGAAAATAGAAAAAAAACGTCGTATCAGCATTCGTATCTTTTCCCCTGGCGCGAAACTCCCGAAAACTAATATGCCGGCAAAAGGCTTATTCTTTGATTCGGCGAATCTTTCCTTTCCCCGAGAACAGTCTAGCCATTATTTAACTTGGCGAACAACAGCAATAAGGGCCAAACAGCGGCAACTCGCGCAGCGGCTGATATATAATTTCGCGAGCGAAGTGTGGAAGAGAGCAACGGCAAAGTCGCAAAACTAAGCCAAACTCGCACTGTGTACACGCCACTCTCTCGCGACTGTACCATACTATAGGCGTCCGATGAAAAGTTTCCGTTCTGGCGCCTGCGCGACCTCTCATCTATAATACATCCCCCCCCCCTGCCCCACCTTGCTCGGCGGCTACCATCCGTATAGTTGTAGAAACGCGCGGGCATGTGCATAACTTTCCGCGACTTTTCCTGCTCCCCGTAATACGGCGTCAAAAGACGGAATGCAGTCAAATATTTTACTCGCCGACACTTCCGTCTTGGTTATCGACAGACCGCGCGCGATATTGGCAGATTTGCGTGCCCGAAAAGTTTCCAATTAATCGAGAAAAGAAGATCGCGTTCGCTCGTGAATGAATGGACAGAGGCAAGGAAAGCCGTAAATTGTGCAAGCTGAAAAAGGAAAATCGTAGAGAGAGAGAGAGAGAGAGAGAGAGAGAGTCGTCTCGGTGGGGTGTGCGACATTGTCGTTCCTCGATGTGCTCAAAGGTGAGCTCGCGCGAGTGTCAAACGCGCAGGGAGAAAGCCCGTGACTTGTGTCCTCCTTCGCTTTTCAGCCTCGCTACGCACAAAAGACTGTCCGACTCGCGTGGCTTCTCGGAACGCACGAGACTACCATTCGATTGTTGCCACGCGGCGTTTCGACGGCGCACGCGTACTACTCGGCCGGAAAGTCATGAATTATTCCAAGGCCGGGTTTTCCGGAGCAGATGCAGCCGCGCGTATCCTTGGCGTAGGCGCGGAATCGGCGGCGCCAACGATCGCGCTCAAGCCGATCAGCGGCGAGCGCAGGGGCGCAGAGCCGCGCTCGCCATTGTCTCGGGCATCTTGGCGAATTGGGAACTGGCGCGGAACGATCGGCCCGCGAGGACGCGGAGATCGTTGTCGGCGCGCTCGCTTACGAAATTGCGCGGCTTTGAAATTCCTCTTGTCGCCTTTCGCTCGGCGCGCAGCCATTGTTCGCGTTCGATAAATTATTGTTACGCGCGGACGACAGGCTGAAAGCTCTGCGTCCGACTTGGCTCGCTCAACGCTGAGAATGCAATAGGGCCAGACTTACCGAGGTAGTAAGGATCCGCGTAGAGCGCGGCAGCCTTTGGCGAGGTGTATCTGGGCGAGTCCTGTCCAAATTCGTCGGAGCCGTACTGCAAAGCAAACAAACAGCATTAGCGTGCGGAGCTTGATCCGGGAGGAGCGTGGAGTGCGCGGGGGCAGGCCCGCGCGCGCAACAGAATGGGCTTATTTTGTCGGCGCGTGCCGCGACAACGCGAGCAGGCAGCGTGTAATAATTGTTTCCGTGAGCGCGCATCGCACGCGCACCGCCACGTGCCTGGCTAATCGCCGGTCTGGAATCTACCCGTAGCCGAGATCCCCTTCTTCTCTTTCAATTCGCGCTCGATCGATCGCCGATTATTATTACGCAAACCATTTCCTCTCCGGCGGAGAGAGTTTTGTCACGCAGTTTCGCTCGTCGACGGCACGTGCCGCCGTAACGCAAACGTTTACCTTTACTCGAGTGGCGTTCTGATCCAATTGTCATTACCGCTAGATACTACCGACATACGTCAACGCGCAAATAAATCCTATCCGTCTCTCCGGTGCGCCAGTAGCTGCTTTGTTGACCGCTAATTCTATGGGCTTTGCGGTGGACGGTTATAGCGGTCTCGCGCTTTTTATGCTTCTTCTTCTTTCATTCTTTTAATGCCTGGCTAATTGTTCGATAATCCAGCACTTTTACGCACGATTGATCAATTTGTTTTTAATAAAGCCACTTTAGAATTATCTTCGCGGGGCTTTATGTTCGTGGATCGCTTGCGCCGTATGTTTCATGCATCAATGTGTACTTTTCTTATCGATCGAAAATTGGCAATAAATTTCGAGATAAGCCTTCGCCAGCAAAAGAAACAAGGGAAAACGAGTTTTTTACGCGCAATCGCATTTTAAATTATTCCTTGAAACGCCTCGCGCACTCTCTGCAATTAGCCCGCCAAAGATATTACGAAACGAAATTCGAAAAAAGATAAAACGCAAAGTATCGCGCGCAAAACTCAATGAAGTTGCCCACATCTGTCCCTCTCTCTTTCTGCAATTAAGACGCATAAGTCAGTTTTAATCTGAATCAGCCATCGATTCTGTCTTTCACTTATGAACAACGAATGCAACGCTTTAATGTCAACGATTCCGGATAATATCCCGCATATCTGCGCAAACTCGTTTCCGTCGCATTCGAACGTTCCTAGTTAATGTCGCGAGCACACCAATTTAATAAAAACGCAGCACGCGACACGACATTCCACATACGATCTCGAGTATCATTTACCATTTTGCAATTGTCGTAATCGGCTGGACTGGCAAACATCTCTGACGATTAACACACCTCAAGATAGAGTATAAAAAAAAAAAGTCTCACAAGAGCACACAAGCTTCAAGATTGTTCGTCCTGAGGAGCATGCCTTCTAATTTTTTCTTATTTTTACACTGCACCACCACTGCTTCTCATTCACGCTCACGAAATTTTTCACTACAGCAGCAGCAGCAGCAGCAGTGGGCCGTTCGAGTGTCGACTTCCCGGAGAGTTTTACGGAAGGGGAGCAGCACTATAGTGGTAGGGGCTCAAAGTAAACTTCCCTAACGCGACTAAGATAGGAGAGCTCGAATTTTCAGACGAAAACTTTTCAATAAAAATTGGCGTCGATATGATGAACGTCTCGCACGCCGCTTGGATATGATCACACGCGCGCACACAGAATGGATGGGTGCACGAAGGCACAGAAAAAAGCGCAAGTGTATAAAATATAAGCGTGCAGTGAGCGAGAACAAGCGAGAAACTGCCTAGACGGGCTCCAAAGCACGACTGGCGTGGTTGTGGCTTCTCTTTCTCTCTCTCTCTCTCTCTCTCTCTCTCTGTCTCTCTTCACGCCTGTGTGACGACGCGTTTCTGGCAGAGGGGTAGACAGAGACAGAGAGAGAGAGAGAGAGAGAGAGAGAGAATGGAGGGGAACGCCAAACGGATCGTCATCGTTTCAGTGTCGACCAATGAACCGAGTCCCGTACGCTGGTGGTGGTGGTGGTGGTGGTGGTGGTGGTGGTGCTGCTGCTGCTACCGCCGTTGTACGGCTCTATATACGCATCGAGCGAGAGTTATGTGCGAGTGAAAGAGACAGACCACGCGATGCGTTTTACGTATAGGCTTCCGAAAGCCTTACTAGCACGCATACATGCACATATCAACTATTTGTGTGTGAGTGTGTGTGTATCAAACACTTGGCTTATTTCTACTACAAAGAAAACGATATAAATAGTGAATTACATTAAAATATACAATAGTTTATAATTTGTACAGTATGTTCGAAATATAGTCTTTTTTATACAAAAAGTACTATAGGCGATGCAGTTCTATATTTTCAACCGGCAGTCTTTGAAAAAATATACAACGTATAGACATGCTTAGCTGAGGGATTCGCTATAGGAACGTTTCGACATTTATTGATTGTTGTACATTATCTTGTTTGAGCAATTTTGTAAGTTTTTTCTGGCCTGATTTTGGACTCGCATTGCTATAGTACACGGTTGAGATTTCTGCTATCGCATTTAAAGGCGGGGTTTTCAATATAACTTTTACGTTGATTCCGCAAGGTTATAGTGATCTCACCTCCACGTATTTATAGTTAGTTTGTCTGCATTCCTACGTACCACGATTAGCGATTATTTTTATAAAACAAATTGAAATATTTTTTGTTCGTCAAGCTACTAATTTCCAGAATTATTCTTATGGAAAGTGTATTTGCTTCTCTTGCAAAGATTTCGAGTAAATGGGAGAAAGGAATTGTTTCAAAATCAAGATTAGTACTTCGAGTAGCTAATTCAACAGTTATGTCTTCTAATTCATTGCCATCTAGATAGAATCCAGAAGAACTTTAATTCGGTATTCGGCTTTGGAGCCTTAATTTTTTGGAATTTTTCCTCAATCCTTAGGATGAGGCTATTGGCTTTAACATTAATTTTAGTAGATTGAAGAGATTCTAGAGCACTTAGAGAGTCCGAAAGTTTAATTGAAAGATTGAGTGTAGGGCAAACGCAAGCATAGCCAATCGACGTGGTGTCCAGTATTTTACTCCTACCGGAGTATATCGCGATAGCTTCGCACTTTTTGATGAAGCTATCGAGGTAGATGTCGAGACTAGGATCATTTTTTATTTTTGCATCTAATTATTTTATCTATGGGAATAAGCAGAGTGGAAGTTACTGTATTCCTATGAGTAGAAAAGGTTTAAGATTTATTTTATGGTTATTAATGAAGTGAACTATATCACTGATTGAGAGACCTAGGTTGCTCATTCTCCATTTTAGTGTAAGAGATTTAATTTTCCTCTTGCAGATGGTAACGAAATTTTTTTATAGAAGTGGAAGTGAGAGAGTTTTCATTTGAGAGGGATTTGGCTAGGAAACATTTGTTTAAAAAGTTGCATCTTTCTTTGATGAAAACTAATTTTAATTCAGCTAGAATTACGTTGTTAGGAGTACCGATAATTACGATATTTAAATGCGTGTCTGATCGCTGATTTTTTACTATTACCTCAAAAAGTTTACAGAGACAGGATAGTAAGACGATAGGGCACACACTGTTGGTGTCAGGATTAGGAATGAAATGGACAAAGGAACGTTTCTATGACTACGGGTACCCGTGATTACGGTACCTTTCATTGAAGATATCTCCGAGTAATAGTTTGAGTTTAATTGGCAAATTAGCAAAAATTTCGTAATCAGTGACTTTAGGCCCGGAACTGATTTAAAATTTTTTGGCTCGAGTATAATGTTGAATTCTAAAAAAACCTAATTGGATTATCAAAAAAAATATTATTTTCACATCTCGGAATCTATATTATTTTCATATCTCGGAATCTATATAGAAGGATTATTCTGAGCCCACGCTAGGGATAATTTGTTCAGAGCATTTTCTATTATTTTATTTTTGTATTTTTAAAATTCTCAGTCGATTGATATGAAATAATTTTAGTTCAACTATTTTGATGAAATTTAAAGGTATTCCAAACGTAACTAGGACTGAAATAAACGTTCAGACAAGACACGAACCTTTAAAATAGTTTTTTTTTTCTAGTTTGACGTTTTTTTTTTAAACTGTGCCGTGTATTTTTTGAATTCAATGAGGTCTGTGAGATTGTTAGTGAGAGTATTCCGCATCCCGCGTTGTTTCGTTTTTTTTTAAATGGCTTTCTGAGAGTACTGGCACTAAAGGTGACTGTAATTAGTTCTAAGAATAAGTTGTATTTGTCACTGGCTGATAAATTATCGTGATCTTGCGAATAAAAGAAAGAAAATTCTGATTCTATGTATCTTGTGAACGCTAGTCAATCTGTGTTCGTGCTTTTCAATTTAGATGTTTTTTCACAGCGGTACTTTTCGGTGACAATGTTTACAGCCATAGGGAAGTAATAAACCCTCGGGTCTCATATTTAATTTTGTAACAGGCTATATTGAACATTATTGTTGTCAAGACGATCAAGTCTAAATTAGAATTCGAATTTCGATAAAAATCAATGTGGGTTTTAGTATCAATATTATGAATGAACAAATTTCGAGAGCCAATTGCATTTAATAACCTTTTATAAGCTATTGTATTGGCAATGAAATTTGAGCTATGCGCGTTAAAATCACCTAAAAGTAATAAATTGTCTTGATTGTTTGCATTGTTAATATTGTTATATTATTGTTCTTGTAACGAGCGATGACATCGTGGGGAGGATTTATATTATTTATACGTATACCGAACATTTCCATTTTATCATTAGTGTAGTTTAAATTATTAATTTCAGTGTAGACGAGATTTTTGAAGTAAAAATATAATATTCTTTTATCGATTCTGTCCTTTCTGAGCATTAGAAATTCGGGAAAACGAATGTTTTCTTTCAGAAGAGAGCCAAGTTTTCACATAAATAACGATATAGTCGCTTGCTAAAGAGGGGATGTCCAGCTTATCACTGAATGTAGCTTTTTGTAATCCAAAATAGTATCTTCATAGAAGTAGATAAACTGTCTGTCATCGAATTCATTATTTTTTTAAGTCCGTTCTGAAGCGCTGACTTCCATTAGTTTGTCGATATCCTTGAAGACGTCAGATAATTCT